TCTAGGTCTATAAAATTACCTTATAATAGGTAGTTTTATAGACCTTGTGCTACTGTAAGTGTGGCACCACTATAACCTTCCCTACTTCTTTTTAGCTGATGTTAGACAACCAAGTTGTTCCAAGTGTAGATCGTTTTGTAGGGAAGGATGATCCCCTATGGTCGTCGTATATAGAGCCCTTTAGAAATCTATTATTTCTCTAGCAGTAACTAGTTAAAATATTAAGAAGAGGTTATTACATAATTAGTAAAGAGAAACTAGCATCGATCAGTGCTTTTGGAAACAAAAGTTGGTATTTTGAGCAAACACCTCAAATCTAATAGGTTATTACAGACTCCAATATAATGGGTTATTTTTACCGGTTCTAAATACAGATATGTTTCGCTTCATGATAATGGAAAATATCACCTGTTTTTTGTATACCTGTACATTGTGGGGTAGATTTCAAAATTTAAATTATGGTCACTTTCTGATATGGTTTATCAACAGCAAATTTTATGTTATTTTTTGGCATCATTGGTTGCAAATGAACTACTTCAGTAATGCCTGTATCTTGTCCATACTGCAAAAGTAAAAGCGCAGAACCTTGTAGCGGAGAGACTGAAATATCATTTAGTAACGTCTTGGGCCCATCTATAGAAGAAGTAGTCGTGTGTTTGCTATTTTTACTTGCCTATAAGTTGTGCGAAAATTTGGGTATAGTGCACAAACCGAATGTAAAAGGGACTCCATGTGATGATGACAAGGTAATTTTCAACTTGAATTAGCCACACTTTTTTGCAGATGTTAAGTTGTTAAATAAAAATATATATCGCGCATGTCATATTATGATTTAATCGTTTCATGGTTGTCATATTGTTGTTATCCTTTCATCAGAATTCATAAAATTGGAGATAATTCGGAACATCGTGTATCTTCGATGTATTCTAATCGTAGTAACTTTAATTATACTTAGCGAACGTGGAACTAATAGGAATAGTCATAAATTTGTATTTCATTTTTTTTTTTTTAATATTGTGATTATATCTGTATCGTTTTCTATGGTTTGTCGCCATCTCTAGCTGTCGGATATCTTCACGAGGGCCACTATTTGGGTTTTGAAAACTAAATTTTGCAACATCCTTTAAAACTTCGTGTATTGTCTAAGCTGTTAGCAGAGTGCAGAGGAACACCACTTGCTTAACATTTCTTTCTCGTGGAATGAGAATTATGGTGGGGCCTAACCTATTTTAAACAAAACCTTTTTAATATTTACTAATCGTGGATGATAATATTGGGATATCATTGTGATGCTTCTGCAATGACTTCAGGTTTTTGTTATTCCAACAAACAACTCTTAGCGAATGTAGTTTGATAAATTCTTTGTCTTAGGATTTCTCAGATATTCATATACAGAGTCTCTCAATTCAGAATGGCCAAACTCTGGGGAGTGATTCTAGAGGCTCTAAGAGCCTGAAGCCCTCCTCCCCTCCCCCTCCCAAATGGTAAAATGTAACCATGTTTTACAGAAAAAAAATATTAAAAACTATCTCTTAAAGTATTCTTGTTCGTGTAATTATATTTAATAGGACTTTCAGAACCACTTAAGTACCATTTGATATAGGTAGTTAATTTATTTCTTCTTTTTTCTAATTAATTATTGTTATATGTAGATGAAAAAAATCTTTCGGGCTGAAGCCCCTCCAAAATTAAATCCTGAATCCGCTAGTGAGGGGAGGGGGGGGGCGTACCGTCTAGTAAGACTGGAGATGAGATTGAAGAGACTCATGGACTGTTTCATACGATTCATCTTTGGATTCCCTAGCGTTCTCATGTTCCCTGCTTGTACACCGAGTTGAAATGGCTCTATACTACCTCCCGACGACAATTTCTTTTTAGTGTTTTCCTTTTCCAAGTCCTGAAAATCAAAAATTCTTCCTACATCCTAGAACTCCATACTCCATTCTCTTAGTAACTGATCTCAACCTATTAATTTATATATTCCCTTCCATAAAACTACATATTTCAGCAAATCGTTCATCATTCGTACTATCACCTTCTAGACTTCTTTATCCATCCCCGTACGGCAATCCTCATCCATAAATTCCTCCAAACAAATCTTATTCCACCTCCTATTTCATTTTCAAACCACGCCATCAATGTAATATTTATTGGGTTCTGTAATTACAGTAGCTCATTAACGATTATTCGACAAGTACCATTTGATATGATTTTATAATTTTGTATATATATACATATATTAAAAATTCACTTGTGTTACTTAATATACAGTATAATTCAACGAGCTATATAATCGCGACTGCATTTGCAAATAACAGTTAAATAGCAAGTACCTCTTTGCATTTTGTCAAAGCAGACTATTGGGCTCAGTTTCTTTGAACTCCATTATTATTCTAATGAGACTTTTGTCCCAGAATAAAATTACTTTTTTTTATTCATTCATTCGAAAAAGACAAAGATACAGATCTCTTGATCCTCCATTACATAATTCTATTTTCTATCCCTTAAGCTTGTGTAACGAGCAGAATCCGATTTTTTTTATCTAAATCAGTTATGATATGAAAGAATATTGGTAGGTTCAAGATAAATTGATATAGCATCCATCCAATTTAGAACGAAGTATTTTTTTTTTTTTTAGTATTTCTAGACTTATATATACATATATATATATCCTATGTATATAACTATATAGACTTAGTAGAAGTCAGATGTGCTATCTCTGGCTGCGTTTGATTGGAAGGTGTTCGTGAAATATTTATTAAACTCAATTACTTTTTGCGTATTATAAGTGCAACCTGGCCTCCAGTATAGTTGGCACCCTTCACAAATTTTATTCTTTTAGGATTCTTACCCATTGATTCTGATACCCAACATGTCTTTCTTTATGAACAATGTCTCGATTCAAATTAGCGAATAACGGTCATATTTATCATTCGTAATATTAACTATTATTACTTGCTAATTATAACATTGTTGTTATTACTATCATAACATTGATTAACAGAGTAATAATCAGTTTACGTTTTATGAAACAATTTTTATTTTGTTAGAAGAGCAAAGATATGAAAAGTTGGTTGTCAGATGAGATCAAGGAGCTAACACTTCAATTATCAATGCTTGGTTACGACTTGAATGAGCCAGGAATTTGCCCAACACCTTCCATGTTCCAGGCGAGGAAGTTCGTATTGAACAGGCTCGCTGAAATAATGGAGAAGAAAGACGAATTAGACAGGACTTCTTCTTCTACTGAATCTGGATCTACATTCTCTGTTGGCGATAGTTTGTGTTCATAATAAAAATTACCATTTCTATAATATCGGTGATTTATTTTTAAGATAGAAAAGTATCACTTTAGGGTGAACGCACCAGTTATGGACAGGAGGTCCAGTGATGGTCAGGTTGGACTTTAAATGTAATAATAACATTCCTTGTTGATTTAAATATTACAGTTTATTCAAGATTGAAGAACAATGCCCTCTATTGACAACTGTATGAACAAAATTCCCAAAAGAAATTTTAAAATACCTATAATTGTTTCTATAGTGCTCTTAAGATCAGTGTGTTTCATACTAACAGTTTTGCTGAAAGTTGAGCATTTATGTTATCTTATCTTCATCCTTAAATAAAGATTTTAGAATTTTTCTGAGGTATGTCTATTACTGGTAACGACCCCCTGTCCATTACTGGTACAATTGAATTTCTGGAGTGTCCATCACTAGTGCAAAAAGGTGTTTTTTTAAAATGGAGATTATATCTGCATAACTGAATTTTTTTTTCAATTTTAAAAGTGTTAAATAGAGAAAAGAAGACCCTACAGATTCTAAATATCCTATGGAGAAGTTTATAACTATAATAATTATGGCGGCATAAGTCAAAAATGACAAACATTGCCTTAGCTATTTCCATTCCAGGCACTCATCCTACTTTAGTAAATCAATTTATATTTTTGTCTAGGCTGGCTTTCATTCAGAAAACGTTGTGTTTTTGATTATATGACAAATGAAAATCATAATTTTTTTTTCAGTTCTTAACATTATTCATTTTTAGATCAAAAAGTTCTATAAATCCACCTATGTTTTGGAGGATGCCCACTTCCTCCATGTTTAATGAATAAAAATAAATAATATATTCAATTGCGTTATTCACATATCAAATATATCCATTCCTCAAAATGAAAAAAACATATAAATTTATTTTTGAATGTACAATATTTTACTGTTTGATTTTATACAATCATCATTTTACATAATTTTTACACATAAGATAAACTCCCAGTACTTTTTTTTTTAGTCCATCGCCTCTCCCCCAATCAAAATGGGAAGTCTGTTTCTGTGGTTGTTTTGATTCCCGAATGAATGAATTGGCTCCAAAACAGTTTTCAAAAATTGTATTAATGATTAAACGCTGATAGCTCTTATTAACTATTTAATCCCAAATTTAATGCACTGTACTGCACTCAAATTACTGGATAACTATTGGCTCAGGAGTGCCCAGAAAAGTATGACATGACTCCAGTTGCGTCATCCAAATTTTGAGGGCACATATGAATTTTGGAGGGAACCATATTTTTGGAAGAACCTTCAAATCAAGGTACAAGAGAACAATATGGCCATAACAAGTGTAATTGTATATAAACTATATTCTTTACGATTCTACTTTCGCTCGGACAGTTTTTAAGAATATAAGAGCAATAAAATATTTCTTATATAAAGCTTGTATGTTTCAATATTTCTTTGTTATATTACATTGCCTTATATGACAATTGCCTACGATCAACTGAATTGCTAACCGAGCTGCAAATTCCACTTATGACTCCCTTTCTCCTCTAGAATAATGTGATAAAACAAATTTAATCGTTCTTGCTATATTATTCTTAGTAAATGATTCATATCAAGATAAAAATTGTATTCGTTTGCTCATCCAAGACTGAAATTATTCCGATTAGTTCGTTTGTGTGGGTCTGATATTATTATGAAAGGATTTGCATTACAAAGATATTTGTGGATAACTAGGATAATTGAGGTTTAAATAAATTTCTGAACTAGTAGAACTTTGATTTATAATTATCTTTATTTAATCACAATAAATGGAATGTCTGAAAAAATACATCATTTCTTTGAATATAAAATGTATTCTACATTTTATTTAAATTCTCTCTTAGCTTATTTTTCTCCAAGTAATGAGTAATCATTCTCTTTCTCCACTGTTTATTTACAAGACACCAGAACTATCAAATGCCTTTCTCTGATTGGCAATCATTTGGACTTCATATTAGTACCTATAGATTGAAAAGAAAACATTCATCCTTCATAGAGATCTCATCTTTATCACTAATTAGCGATGAGTGCTTAAATGATGGCACTGGTGTGTAGTAAATAATTACAGGAAGCAAATACCATTTACTAAATATCACACTTAACATACTTCACATGATTTTATACAGTTTATACAATAAAATAAGTAATAAATATTTAACCAATACATTTCTCCTTTAATGTGAGGGATTTTTTAATAAATGCCTGATTTCCACATCCTCTCTATAATACATATAAGTAAATATTTATTAAAAAAAAAAAACAAATAATAAAAATAAAGAAATATTTCAAAACCTAACAATAATAAATTCTCGATAAATTGGTAAAATAATGCACCTCATCACAAATTTTAACCATTTTTTTTTTTTACAAAAATCTCAAATAATATCTAATATTCAACATCAGGCACAAGGCTTCAAATATTCTTACATCTAAATCCACATAAACACTCATTAAACGCAAGAAATATAATGACCACTATACAATGTATATACAAAATTTATGTATAAAAATACTAAGTACTCCTTGACTGGACGGATATGTTACATATGTTTATAATAAATGTATGGATAAACATACACTTACAAACAACAACAAAATACATTATTTGAAAAGCTTATCTTAGATAAAAGGCATACAAAATGAAATGTATGTATATCACAAAACAGGTGATTATGTAAATTAAAAAAAAAAATATTTTTTTCGATGTTCAACAATTAAAACAACAATAAAAAATAAAAAGAAATTGAGCAATGCTTAGGCAGCTAGACGCAAATGTTCATTTTATGATCTCAAGTGAAAGTCACTACTTAATTTATCAGCTGCTAAAATGTCCATTACCGCTTACCAGTTTAAATTTGTACTGCGGTAAAGTCTGTCCTCGAAAAAATAAAATTACAAAATTACAAATCTTATGTTATGATTGATCACCAACAAAAGCTGGATTTGTCTTGGTATCAGGGTATTTGTGTCCGTTGGTCTGGCCGTTAGCTTGTTGCTTTGCTTTCTTGTTCGCTTCGTCATTGGCTGCGTAGTGAGCTGTTCCTTCCAGGCTGAGGGTTTCTTGTCTTTGTGAGTTCCTAACTAGGCAGAATGCCGACAGTATGAAGAAAAAGAAACCACAGATAAAGAAAATATAAAGAAGGACTGTTTTTAAAACTGGTGGAATTGTTGTAGCAAGGTTCATAAGTTTGGTTACACTCTCAGGCAAACCGTTGATTCCCTGGAAAAAAAATATGTAACTATTTAATCAAGAAATTTATACAAATATTATAATAATAAACAAATTTAATACGTTATTAATACTTTGGCCATATTTTGTTATATCTACAACCACACTGAAAAGCCTTTATGTGCAAAAACTACTTTTATTCAAAATAAAACGTGTATTCCTTATCTTATGAATTTTAGTATTTCCGTTCAAATTTTATTGTGGTCTTGTGACGAAGATGTAATTTTCTAAATAATGTTATTGGTTTATATTTTTGAATATGTGTGGGCCAAGATCGACCAAAAAAGCTCGAAACTGTGTTTTCTACTAAAAATTATCTTACAAGGTTTTGCAATGTGTCTATCGATATGTTTAATTTTTAAACTTTAGTACAACTCAAATTATATATTAAATAACTGCTTTTTATAGAGTTTAAAGATGATTTTGAAACAATTTTCACTTTTTAATGGAAACTTGAATGAATATATCATATTATTCATGATAATAATGATCTCATAAGGTTAGATAGCTGCTCTAACGTTATATTTTTGGTGATCTACCCAATTCCATTTTCCTAGTTTAATAACTATATCAATGTCAGCTACATAAGAAAGTTTGTAATCCACTATTAATTCTGCTTCTCCATAGCTCCTTTGCAGACATATTTCCTTCCTTCATGAAATGAATACCCTCTCATTATTCTTTCGTGGAATTCAGTTCTATGATGTTTAGGGTAAGATAGATCGTATAAGAGTTTTTTAACATTGCATAAAGCATAAGGTATGCCCCGTGAAGTCACCTCCACGTATGCTTTAGCTGGCCAAATCGACAATAATTAGTATTTCATTGTGCATGACAAAACAATTTCATCTTGATGCTATTCAATAATTCTGACTCAATTAGTATAAACAAATAATAATAATAAAAAATAGCATTTGTATCCATAAAAAATAAAAAAACTTACTTCTTCAAACCACATGATGGGGAAAACTATGTCTGGGAATGTCGCTACTTGCTTAATGTCTATAACTTGACTTACAGCCAAATTGATTTGAATTTTTGCCTGTGCTCTTAAACCTGCTCCCATAGTCTGTAATGAAATAAATGTGTATGTAAATATAAATATAAATTATTAGTATTAGTAGTAATGTCATGTTAGTTACTAAATGTTAAATATCAAGCCATTAACATATTACACTATAATTTGAAATATACATCAGAATATCTTTTACAAAAAGATAACCCCTGATACAGTTAAAGATTAATGAATACTTACTGGTTGAACGTCAAGCCAAAAGCCATGTTTTTCTGGATCAGGTTCAGAGATGCCTTCGACTGCTGCCCTCAGTTTCGGATCGGCGAGGTAGAAGTGAGGGAATGAAAGCATAATTGGGGAATCTGAAAACAAATTCCAATTTTATTGGTCATATTTACTGTTTAAAATTTATTTGTGTAGGCTAATAAAAAATGCGAAAATTAAAAGTTAGGTATAATGGTGATTAGTTTGCAAGTTATTTATCTTTAAAATAATGTGGTTATAATATTTTTCCTTTGCGGTATTAAAAATAATAAGTGAGCTCTCTGCATAAAAAATGATCAGGCATTCACTGGACTCAAACTCAGTTGATGATTATTGATAATTATAATAAATACCATTCTGAAATAAACTAATAATTCCTAATTTGTTTAAAATAAATTTCAGTATGTGCACTTAGACCAATCCTCTAACAATGCCTCATGTTGGGTATTTTTAATAATGTTATAATTTTTAAGGAGCTCATGATGACATTTATTTTTTTGCATTATTATCGCATTGTACAGGACTTATAATTTGTATTTATAATTACCGTATTGGCACAGAGAAACGTTGAACAATCCATGTGGTGCACAAGGAGGTCCAGATGGGCAGAAACATTCGTTGTTTGGATTCTTCTCAATTTCGGCAAACACATCATCGGGTGGGCCGAATCTGTACCCAAGTACATTTCCGGGTGTTTCAACTTCTTCCTTGAATCTGTAAATTAACCAATTAATGTTAGTTTCGCAACAGTAAAATAGCACTACTCGATTATAAATAATATTGCTACTAATAATTCGATATCATGATAATGTAAAAAAATTGTTAAGTTGATTTATGATATTACTGTACATAGGAAGGCAGTGTACAGAGACAGTTCTGTGCCTAATTTGTTCTCTGAATAATGTCAGTTAAATAATTTAAAGCTGAATATATCTTAGAAGTCTCTTTAAAATCTGAGGTCTTAAAAATTGATTAAAAGCTAGTACTCTACAAGTGGATAGTCTTACTAGACTACCTCTCTAATATATAGTACACAAAGTATGCATGTATAATAATAATAGTTTACTATATAAAGTTCAAAGTATATAAATTTTTACTATACAACTATTTTTTTTTTTTTTTTTTTTTTTTTTTATTGAATTATAATACAATCAGCCACTGTTGGAGGGCTATAAGTATTAAGGCTAGAAGTTCTCATTCATACAGTATATACAAGTAATACAGAAGTAACTATAAATATAAGAAGTAAATAAATAATACTTATAAAAAAAAAGAAGAAAAAAAAAGTAATCAATAGGAAAAAAAATAAATAAATAAATAAAATTAAAAAAAAATAAATAAACAAACAAAATAAAATAACAACTTCTAAACACATTCATACCTATATACAATATATACATTCGCCCAGGAATCTCCGAGCCAGGCCTTTCTCCCCACATGTGGAAAGCAAAGCAGGACTCCAGAGATCCCAGTGCCACTTTTCCAGCCGCATCACTAGTATTAAAAGCCAGTGGAGGCTGAAGGAGGGCACTAGAGCCACAGATGCTCAGGACTTGAGTGGAGAAGCTGGCCATTGCCAGGACTCCAGAAGCATATTTACAATAGATCTCGCGGCCACTGCCGTTTTAACCTTCGAGGGGGATTGTAGGGATGGTGGGAGCTGGATAGGGATTGAGCTAGAGGATTTGGATGATGGATAAGGTTCTGGTGAAAGTTTGAGAATCTGGATGGGATGATGTCGAGGACAAATGGGATGTTAAGGTCATGGTGTAGGGTCTTATTTGTGACATAATATGGGGCATTGACTATTGTTCTAAGTACTTTGGACTGGAAGGATTGGATGCGTTTGATATTCGAATGTTTAGCAGTTCCCCACAGTTCAAGTCCGTAGGTCCAGATAGGTTTCAGTATTGTCTTGTAGATTAAAAGTTTATTTTCAATCGAAAGATGAGATGTCCTGCTTAGTAGTCTATATAGCTGGCCATATCGTTGGTTAAGTTCTTGTCTTTTAAGTCTTGTATGTGGGTTCCAAGTTAGTCTTTTGTCTAGAAGGAAGCCAAGGTAACGGACTGTATCTGAGTAGGGAAGTGGTATTGAATTGAAAAGGATTGTGGGACAGGATCTGCGTCGCAGGGTGAAAGTAATATGTTTGCATTTTGCTTCATTGATTTTGATGCGCCAGTTGTTGCACCACTGTTCAATCAAGGAGAGGTGAGATTGTAGGTTTAGAGATGCTATTTGAGGATCTGAGTGGGAAGATAGAATGGCAGTATCATCAGCAAATGTAGCTAGGAAGGTATCGGGATTTGAAGGGATATCGGCAGTGAAAAGGATGTAGAGAACTGGACCCAAAACACTGCCTTGTGGAACACCAGCCTCAACTGGATAGTAAGTGGAGAATTCGGTGCAGCAACGGACTTGGAAGGAACGATTTGAGAGATAGGATTTGAGGACTAGGTATAAGGATTGGGGTAAATGGGTTTTGAGCTTGAAAAGCAAGCCATCGTGCCACACCCGGTCGAAAGCTTGCGCTACGTCCAGAAAGGCACCAGTGCAATATTGCTTGTTTTCAAGTGCAGAGGATATATGGTCCACAACACGAAGGCCTTGTTGGACAGTGGAATGTCTTGAGCGGAATCCAAATTGATGAGAAGGGATGTTGTGGGATTCGAGTATGGGTAGGATGCGTTTGAGGAGGATTTTCTCAAAGATTTTTGAGAGGATAAGGAGTAAGCTTATCGGTCTGTAGGATGATGTGTTATTAACGGGTTTGCCTGGTTTTGGAAACAGCACGATTATGGAATGTTTCCACACCAAAGGAAAGTTGGTTGTGCGAAGGATGCAGTTGTATAGATAGGTAAGGAATATGATTGCTTTTTTGGGAAGTTGTCTGAGGATTTGCGAAGTGAGGAGATCATATCCAGGGGATTTTCGGGGTTTTAATTTGTTTATGAGAAATTTTACCTCAGAGGGGTTAACAGGTTTTGGAGGTAGAGAGAGAGGAATTGGTGAAGAGAGAAATTCTTTAACTTCAGCAGTGTGGGTGGGATGGAGTTCGGGATGGGGAGTGAATGTGTAGGATAGATGTTTAGCAAACTCTTCAGCTCTATTCGCATCTGACGAAGCCCAGGAACCATCATCACGGCGGAGGGGGTGGGAAATGGATTGGAATTTAAGGATTTGGCCCTATACAACTATAAACTAAAAAAAAAAAAAAAAAAAAAAAAAAAAAAAAAAAAAAAAAAAAAAAAAAACTTGTACCCCTTCAATCCATGAAGGGTCTTGGGTTCAGTACTATTTAGGACAAGTACTGTTTCTTAGTTAACGGTTGGGCAAGGAGGTGATTTGACTCAAATCAGGACGCTCAACTGTCAGGTTTTCCTCCTTAATTAACTATTTACCCACACTAACACACCCACTTTATAGAGGCTGGGTGTGCCCCAGGAGGGTCTCCTGACCCCATGTCTGATGAAACAGAATAAATAATTTTTCTGCCGTGACTATAAACTTATACTATTACGATAAATGTATACTATATTTATGTAAATGTATATCATCCTTTAAACAAAATATCATCCTCTACTTCCCTGTAAAGGAAAATAAATTTCATTTATCTAGATTTAAAAAAAAAAAAAATCATTCTGTTCCATCATCCAATGTATAAAAAAAGAGAGTGATGCAGAAATACATTCCACTTTATTTACAATGCTAAATTGGTAGTTGCAGTTGTCGAATTCGTAACAAATTTACCATACTTTTGGTTTTATAGACTAAGCCACTGCTTCATAAACCAAGAAACGATTCATTTATTTTTATTTGAGTGGGCAGACCTTATTCCTTTGATAAATATCTCAATCATTTTTTTTTCTCAATTGAAATGGAACTAAATAGAATAAATCAAAGATTGTTCTTACTTCAGAGGGAGAAGCCTGCAGAGATCCTTGTCAAATAAATAAAGTGTGGTATTTTTGGTGATGTGGGGTGGGAAGATCGAACCATCGCTTCCTGCCAGTCTGTTACATTCTTCGCTTTTCCAATGTGGCAAATGGGACATGCCATTGAATCGATCGACTAGACCGTACTTTGTGATGTCATTTGCACCGGTGAATACGGTCACAATATCTTTGGAAGTTCCATTTTTCTGTAAAAATACATATTAAAATTATTTTACTTTAAACTTATTATAAATATGCTGATATTAAGGATAAAGTGTAGGTTTATTTTAATGTATTTGTTTTTATTAGCTATTTTAGTTTAGGGATTTTTTTCAAAAACATTTAGTGTATATAAAATAGTACTTTTTGACACTTAAATAAAAAAGTTGGTTTTTCTGTACAATATTTTAGAGGGACAATCTTACTCACATGCTCTAACTACAGAGAAATCTCCATTCTATCCACTGGATATAAGATTGTTTTCAATATCTTTTTCAAAAATTTAATACCCTATGTTAAGAGGTAATTCAGCTGATACCATTGTGGCTTTAGGAAAGGCATGTCTACTACTGACCTTATATTACGTTTTAAAACAATTCTTGAAAGAAAGATGGAATACAAGATTAAAACAAACCACATCTTCTTCATAAAATTGATGATTTTAAAATGAGCAGCTTACAATAGTATAAGTAGAGAAGAATTATATATGGCTTTAAAGCATTCTAAGATTCATTGCAAACTCATAAGGTTTGTACAACAGAATAAAATTAGCTGCATAGTCCAAATGTGTGTAGAACAGTCATAAGAATTCAATTTAGAAAGAGGATTTCATCAGGGAGCATTTGCAAAATGAGTGAGAGAAATATAAATAGGTTTTAACATACCCCGTACAAAAGACCAAATTCTTCATATGGAAGCTTTTGTTCTTTTGGTACTACGTCTTTTGCCAATTTGAGAAGGGGATCCTCATATCCCCAGAGAAGTTGGCCAACAGATACCTCCACAAAAGGTTTTATTTTTAAAATATCCATAATGGAAGCCATTGCCAGTCTCAGAAATCTAGCGGCATGTTTACTCTGTGAAGTGGCACTCTATAAAAAAATTAAAAGTTAGTAATCTGAAATATGTACTTATTCGTAAATTAAAACTATTAGAAATCAACGATATAAACACATATATTTCTTTGGATAGGTTAAAATATTACAAACTATCACCATGGGGACACCAAAAATGTGAGCAGCAGTTCAAAAATATTTTTACAGTTACGTTTAACCATGTAAAGTTTAATTTGTTTTTCTGAACCACTTGTTATTTTTCTCAACAATAAAGGATTGTAAATAGCTACTATAGTTTTCAGGATGTACTATGTTCATTGACTTCAGTTACAAAATATTGTATTTTGGCTTTTATTTACTATTTATTGTATGTATAAAATATATATATTATATAAAAATATAAAACATTTTTATCTTAAGCTCTGTTGTAAAGTTCCTTTTTATTAAAGTATAACATCAGTCTTAGGTGCCAGTTCCAATTTTTTCTTAAGGTTTTGAATGTACGGCAGTCTTTTATAGTATTTTTGACTATTCTTGAACATTACAACTCTCTCAGATTGGAAGCTCAAATTTTCTTAATAAATAGCCATGTGAAAACTCACATTGCCCAATCCTTTATCGGCAAAGGACAGTTTCTTCTTTTCGGTACATCATTAAATATTATATATGGTGTTGCAATACATCACATGTTATAACAGCTTTGTGCTATGCAAACGGTGTTGCTGATTTACTTTAATGTTTGGTATATTTTTTTCGGAAGTAGTTCTGTTTTGAAATAAATATTAATTTAAAGTATCATTTATTTTAAATAAGGTCTTATTAAATAAAAAAATAAACATAAAGGTACTCACCAACATTGGAATATTAGGAACGACGACCATATCACTTTCATCACCTACAGATTGATCGGGATCAAATCTGTAAATTTTTTGCTGTTGAAATGTAACGGTTCCATTGTCATTGAATGTCAAATTCACTTTTTCCCAGGTTTCGCTGAAAAAGAAAAATCATTATTTTTTTTAGAAAAATCTATAGTATAACTCACTACTTTATAATTTTAGCTCATAAATATAGATGCATTAATTTATTTTAACTAAAAATAATTTGTACATATATTTGATCAATTGACTCTGCAGTAGATTGAAAAAAAAAATGCAGCACTACCACCTTTGGGTTTTGGTGATATTTTTAAGTGAGTCTCGGTGAGATAATTTTATTTTTTTTACATTTAAAGAAACTAAACCTGTACCACTACAACCCATGAAGGGTCTGGGGTTCAGAACTATTTAGGGAAAGCAATGTTTCTAGGTCAACGGTTGTGCAAGGAGGTGATTTGACCGAGATCACGCTCAACCGCCAGGTTTCCCCCCTTAATTAATTATTTAATTAAGGGTACCCACTTTATTGAGGCTGGGTGTTCCTCAGGAGGGACTTCTGACCCAGGGTCGCCCCACGGCCAATGAAACAGATAAATAAATTTTTCTGCCATGAGCCGGGGTTCGAACTCGGGACCTTTGCATTGGAAGCTCAGTGCCCTACCACTGAGCTACCCCGCTCCCAAAGAAACTAAATATAAAACATTTTGTAGTTATTTTTTGCTATGTTTTTCAAAATCTGATGCTCATGGGTATTATAAACACTCAAGTTTATGTCAATTAAGTGTTTTAATTTTGTTATTTAATTTTTAAATATTCAAAGATTTCAACTGAACTCAAATCTTCTAGTTGTTTCTTCTTATTGATAAATGTGTTTATTTCTTGGTTATTGGGGTAAACTAGTGAGGTTTAACACTAGATGTATCTATTATATTGATTTTGTCATTATCAATAAATATTAATATTATAAGATCCAACTGCCAGGTTTATTCTATACATTTCAAGTATTCTTGTTTTGCTTGGAGTAAGGCATCCTGATAACTCTGCTCATGATCTTGAATAATAATTATTATTTTACCATTTTTCGAAATAATTTATTTTTGACTTTTTTCTCTTGATTGTATATCTTGTATTATCGGCTGTTAATGAGCCATTGTTTGTCTCACCCAAGACAGACACCTCTACAAGGATAGCTTTGACGGAGGACGCAGGACCATGGAGGTGTATAAAAGAAAGCTCATTTGAAAGCAGATGGAAGTGTCGTTGCATAAGAAACCTGACGCAACGTGTGTAGGGCTTTCCCCAGCACATCTCCATTTTCTGTGCAGACGTTTCTGGACAGATCAGACAGAGACAGAGAGGCCGATCACGAAAACCGTACCGTTTTACCAATAATATCATCGATGACCTGATGATAGTTCCGAATGGTAATTCGGCTGAGAAATAAATAAAACAACACATAGGAATATATTTATTAATTTATCTTCTCCATACATATCCTCGAGGAAGAAATAGTTTGAACAAATAAAGGAATTGGTCATATTTTCTAATAATTCTTTATTGAACTCTGAATTGACCCCTCATTTTTAACAAGTTCTTTTTTTTTCCGTGAAGAAAATAATTACGACCTTGTGTAAGGGAATGCCTATAGGGACTTTCCAATTAATTTGGCATTCCTTATCATTTCTAATTTTATTATTATTGTGTTATGAATAATTATGTATATCTCATGTTTATAATTAATTGTTGATACTATGGCAATCTATTAATACATCTATTGTATCGTTGTATTCTCGGTTACGTAACCTAAATCGATCATAGACGTTCTATATTCCTGAAGAATGCAGCAGTGATAGGTGGGGCAGTTCCTACATACACAAACCGAACGCCTTTCACCGCGTATCCTTCAAGATATAATAATGAGGGCTTTCATTTTATTATATTTACTTTGATAATATGTATTATCTTTTTTATTTATTGAAAATAGGTACATGTCACCTTTACAGCCAAGTTTTATTTAGTTATATTTTAATGGGAGGCAACAATAAAAATGCCTACTTTTACGACCAATGGGGTGTTTGATATAAATATTAAGACATTCAATCTTGCGACGATTGAGTTGCAAAGACAACTGATGACTTTTTTTATTTCTTGGGCTATTAAAATCAAAGAAACATAATATGATAAGGGTATTAAGTTTTATAGTATATATATAGATATATTTTCGTTTGTCTTGGACTAATTCTTTCCATTTATTTGCACGTAGGTTTATTGCATCTTTGTTGATTCTGTCTATCCATCTGCTTTTTGGCCTTCCACGTGATTTTTTGCCTTCCATTGAGACATTCACTTGTATATATATTAATCAATAACCCAAGACCCATATAAGATGTTTGTATGTTGATACATTTGGAGCAAATTTTCGATTCATACATCCATGAGATTACAAATATAAAAGGAACTCAGGGATCGAGTATTTCCCTTCTCTGTATGGTAGCACAGATGTTTGTACAGATGTTTGAATCATATAAATTCTCTGCATTACTCAAGATTAAGGAAAAAAAAAAAGAGATATATTAATATATAACTTGGTAAGAATGAAATAAGTGCGTCATACAAACACAGGTTGTCCACCTGAGGTCGTAGTAAACCTGACTCACCAAGAAGAAGTGCACGAACGCTTCTTCGAAACTCGATTCTCGATGAGTCAAATCTTGGCCGAGCCTACCGAGTTCCTGTTTCATACAATCATTCAAATTATTTTTTTTTCTTAGAAAACAGATCCATTTACGAAAAATATCCCATTGACTCATTTAAACAGTATACATTCCAGAGATAAACTTTGCGAATATGTGCGAAATTCTTGTTTGTTGTTTACAGTTTTCACTGCTTTACACAGGTTGTTTTTGTTAATATCCAGAATATTGATGTTTGTTACAAGCTAGTAAGAATTATTACAGAATTCCGTTGATAGATCACTAATCAGAAATTTCATTTGATAAATAATCGTGTAGTGAATTTTATTCATTTTAGTGAGAGGTACATTTAATTAACAGATAATCCTTAGAATTCATGGATTGTTTTTGTTTAATCGCCTCCTTGTTTCAACGAACATGTAAACTGTAGCTCATATCTTTCATTAAACTTTTGGTTAGTCTCAGTAGGTTAAGATGAAAATGGGTATAAAGAGATTGAATCTGTTGGTCGATAGTTGGGTAAACAAGTTTGTACGTAATGTTTTGTTATTTACGTACCAATCAGCTTCTATAATTTATTTTAATATTTGACATACGTTTTTTCAGTATGGGTTTTTGTTTTAATGATTTTGAAAATTGCGAGGAAAGTAGTTTCACAAGTTTGTTCAGGGGTGCCAAGAAGGGGATTTCATGGCGTAAATTGCGCTATAAACTTTTTATGAATTTTTGAGGAAAGGAAATTTCGACGGAGTTAATTTTCGGATTAAGGGGCAAGGGTAAAAAACATGGAATATACCGCAGCAAGTGTAATTGTATACGATCTACGATTTTTCTAATTCTTTATTAGCTTGCTCTGTTTTTAAGGAAAAGTGAGCTATAAGATATTTTAGGAAAAGGGGAGGGTAGGTTCTTGCGCCATCGACTTTAGGGGAAATGGGCACCCTGAGGTTGTTTAGCATTAAAAATAATTTAATAAAACAATTAAATTCGTCTTGTTATAAATTTGTCGCCATCCACTGACGTTAATATCCCCATATACTTTTGTAATTAAAATAAAGACATAGTGAAAAGGATAACAACATTCTATCATTTTAATACCCCATCCAGTGGCGTATCCACGGAGGAAAAAAATGGGTAGATTACCCTCCCAAAATAACTATTGAGAAAAACAATATGGATTTTTAAAATATATCTACTCGTACATGAATAGCATATTTATTTTGTAGAGAAAAAATTAAAAAAATGATCCATCTTGTGATAAATCTATCGTTGTAGATGCATCAAAATTAATTATCTTGAAATTAATTAATTAACTTGCCTGTACCTTTTTTTTTTTATCTCCCTTTCCGCGCCTTTTAGGCTACCTGAGGTTAGGCATTGATCCGCAACCTAGGATGAGGTTGGGTGATCAATGCCTGAGTTAAAAGCCCATTGCGTTGAGAAATGAACTCGTAAACTTCGGTTTATCACAGGTTGCTCTGAGCAACTCATGTTTTGCAAAATCGTTAGCCTGCTCGGCTACCCTTTGTCTATGCCTATCACATTTTAAATAGTTCAAGGTACAAAGTAGTTGCATAATAGATTTATTACAAGTTTTTCATAGGGAAAATAATATTCCTCCCTAATTCTGTGGTTACTCTGATGCTATTCCCCTCCCTCCAAAAAAAGTAACTTCTGGTTCAACCATTTACCCCACCTCTAGGACAATAGAAGACGTCTTTTTAAAAAATAGTTCTTAACTAGAGGTTTAACCGTTATAATTAAATAAACAAACATGAGTTTCTGGGCTAATGAATCACTAAGTAGGCGATGTAGGAAGAGAAACTAGGAAACTACCAAGTCCGTTCGGAAGGAGCTCGGAAAAGATATGGAGGCGCCCACAGACGCCATAAGGCAGCTCTGTTACAACATAACTTAGTCACGGAATGTTGCATAACTAACGTACCCGCTTGGTATTTCAATAAGTTGATTGTCCGTCCAGTAGTCTCTTTGGTTACCACAGGCAGATACCTCTTTGTTGGAAAGAATCGCTCGCGAACGGCTTGAGAAAAATCAGCCCTCCGATAATGTTTTTAGATTTTGTAATTTCTGTTCCCACTGATTTATAAATATAAAGATTAATCATATCAACATAATTAATACATATTTATATAAGATTCTTCTTTATTTTTTATAAATAAAATAAATCGTTCCACCACATATTGAAAGGTACACAAGCTAACTTGGTGGCAATCATGATCATTAGCGGATCCAGAATTAAATTTTTTGTGGGAGGAGCTTCAGCCCGAAAGCTTTTTTTTTCCATAAAAATAACGATTAATTCGGAAAAAAAGAAAGGAACTAACTGTTTATATGAAATGGTGTTTAAGTGATTCCTAAAGTCCTTTTAAATGTAATTACACGAACAATAATACTTTGAGGG